TTAACACTGTTCATCACGTGCATTTTGCATACCGATAGTCCATTGGCCAATCACGCTATTTTAGCGAGATTTCGCCTAATAGTTTGTATGCAGCTCTGGCGGGTGTGGCGCCAGGCAGGGTAAGCTTACTCTTCCGGACACCTGTTACCACTGTTTATCGTGTATTTTGTACACGGTGAACAGTCCATATGCAGATTACACTATTTTGCTTTATTACACTATTTTGCCTATACCGTTTTTTTAGGACTTCGAATTCTGTCTAATGGTTAGGATTGTTCGTACTTGGTTTTATTTTATTTTAAAATTAAATCATTAACCGTTAATTGTCTTTATATCTAGAGTATGCGATATTAATAAATGTCTAATTAACAATTTACATAACATTTAAGGGCTAAAGAAAGACCTGCAGTAGACAGATTTAGCTCATGCATAATATATATTTTAATCACGTATTTTTGACCACTTCTCCAAAATCACAATTACGTCATTTATTATTGTCTCAGTATTATTTAAATATCTAATATAATAAAATGTCCACTTTTTACTCGATTAAATTAGAAGTAGACGTTTTGAGTAATGCGCATGCCCACACTAAATGATAATATTTAATTATTGTACCTAGCTCGAAAGGTACTTGGAATAAAATACAACCCAAACTTTCTTGGGATCTAGTACAGTGCAACCAAAGTCCACCAAATTTGATTTCATATTTATACCACGATGGCGATATGATTCCAATCAAAGCAGCTGTAAACGAAATCAATAAAAGAACAGCACCAATTTTTGCAGTCACCGGTCTCTGAGAGAATGCCATTTTGAACGAGTCTAGAAATAGTTGCCTGAAATAAAGATTTAACAGATTATAAAAGAAAACAGAGTATAAGTATCTTCTCTTCAGTAATTGTCAATGATATGCTGTTTTCTCTCTTATACCATGGGGGTGGATGGCCGAATGGTTTACACGTGTGCGCTGTATCATGAGGCCTGTCATTGAGTCAACTGGCGTGGTTTCGAATCCCCGGTTCTATGTGACAAGGAGTAGCGTCGCCTGTCCAACCTCGTGGTTTCTCTTCGGGTCCTCCGGTTTCCCCCCACTGCTAAAGACCCCTACACGCAAGCGAATTATTGAATTAAAATTAAACCATATGTTAGTCCCTAAATGACCTGGTTTGTGTCGAGTGGACGTTAAACCCCATTTCTCTCTCTTTGTTATACCATATACAGCAAACTAACGGACGGAGATTTAAAATCATCTAATAACAACTCGGTCCTACGAGGAAGAAGCTTTGGTTCTCCTAATTTTGTGTGCTATATCATTGCAGTGGAAGGAAAGCTTAAATTCCCTGGATTTATGTGATACATGGTAACAAACTCTACAAAGTTAGAAATCTACAAACCTATATACTCCTAGTGTGGCGTTCAGTGACTGAGCAGAATACGACAACACAACAAAGTTAGAAATCTACAAACCTTAACTCCTAGTGTGGCGTTCTGTGACTGAGCAGAATACGATAACACAACAAAGTTAGAAATCTACAAACCTATATACTCCTGGTGTGGCGTTCAATAACACAACACAAACTATATGGAAAACATTCACTGGTTTCGACAATTATTCTCTTATAGTTATTAAAAATCAAACAAGGTGTTCCTATTCTGTTTTATACAAGCATTATTTATATTTATTTATTGAGCTTCAACGTAGAGACTATAAAGATCGCTGTATTTCATTTAATATTAATAAATATTATATTTATTACAATATTTATGTATTTCATTTCACATAAAAGTATAAACTACATACATTTAATTTTAATAAACAGCATATTTTATTACAATATTTATATATTTCATTTCACATCAAGGTGTGAACTACATACATTAAGAATTAATCAATAAAAATGAAAATAACGTTTAACAGCCCACTGTTCCGCACAGACTGTGCGAATGGAAACGAGCTTACTGCCTACTTTTATATCGAATCCCAACTGCCAGGGAATCTTCTACGTGCACGCAAATGTGTAAACGGGACCTGGCCTTTTCGTCACATCAGAACGACTATGCGTTAATCCTTGCCAAGCCTTCTATGCTGCATCACTGACAAATACCGATTCGCCACCAATTGGCAATGATAGCAAGGTGATCGCTAGACATTCGAAGGTGTTCGTGGGCGGTCGTAAATGGAGTGTTGCAAATACGGGGAACAGTATTCTAATATTCGTCAGGAAAAATATTCTCTTTGTTTTCGCAACACTTTCGTAATCAATCACCTGTCATTCTTATTGGAAACGGAGCCGGGTAAACTTCGGATATTTTTTTAAGCAATATTTTTATTCATTATCCGAATTTGGATTGGGGAACAGGCTATGCCTATGTGTAACCCCTCTCTCTGATTTAGATATATGTACACATAATATACATACATAACTACATAAATATAGAGCGTATATGGTACATAATGGATAATATAGAGACTTTGATGAATGTACAGTTTGAGATGACTTGAGAGTTGTTTTATGGAGATTTAAATCTTTTTGATAAAGAATAAATTGTTGGACTTCTTGGAAAATAAGTGTGTTTATCTCTGGACTAAGTTTTGTTGACCCATACAACAGACAACTGATTGTTTTATGATTATATTGAAGGTTATGGATTGTCTGTTTTCTTGCATCTGAATATAAGTGGCATACGAGTATATAGTGTTCGGTATCTTTGAATTTGTGACCGCATATAAATCAGAAACGTATATATATATACAGAATTATATACATGCTTAAATCGTCCAAACTCAAAAATCTGCTCATGTTGCTAGAAAAGTATAGGCGTTTTTATCGACCACTGAGAGAAATGGACGGTTCTATACAAATGTGATTTAACCCCAAATTTGAAGATTTGAGGAAACACTGAAAACAGAAAATACAAGCCATTCAAATAAAGAAAACTTGTATTACTTTAACATCATGAAATACAATATAGGACTAAAATGTACTAAAATAATAGTTGAAATATGGAATAGTAACCATGGTAACGCATGAAATGTGATTATGTCATTTTTGCGTAACATCTAACCAAAATGAACTTAATTTGCGTAATTTCGCCTCAAAATGACGCAACTGATTAAACTAATTATTCATCACTAAACTCCAATTCTAGGTCTATGATTCCATTAAAGCTAAATGCCTTTTCTTATATTTTTGTCACAATCAAAGCCAGTACGAAACCTTGTGCTATCAAATTTTGGATATCCTACGCACAAAAATTAAATACAGTGTGGTGAGGTTGTGGTGAAATGCGAAAAACCCTCTTACTTGTAAAGGCACTTTCACGTTCTCACTACGTGTACACAATGACCCCACTACGTTCTTGGCACGCACGCTTTGCGCCGCACAGCAACGTCCCCCACCGATCCCAACCACGTTGCTGCCACAGTCTAAAAGGCCACACTGACACGACGCTCCAAGCCCATCAATGCTACAATGTTAAAAGGATTTCACATTGATCATATTGCACGCAGCGATCCATCTACGTCATACTTCGAGAATACATCACTGCCCTAAATGCCGTCGATTTAAAACGCTCACGTGATCATTTTGGGGCGAGACTTATCGGCTGGCGTACTGCTTTGTACACCCGAAGCATGTGGTTTATGTAAACAAATGTTATGTTAGCAAAATTTCGACTTCTGCCACTCCGGTAAAAGCGATATATAATATGTTATAGTGGGTAATTTTGCAATACAGTCTTTACCATTGTAAACTGCCTTTACAGTTTCAATCTGTTTATCTTTCAAAACAAGGTTAGATACTCTTAAATTTTTCTGTGAAATTATCTTTCATGGGCGCCGCCATATTGAATAATTAGTGGACTATTTCGTGATTCCGCTCTGATCAGTTTGACATCTTTCAAACACACAACGGCTAAATAAACATATTTAATTTCATTCAATATGAAAATAGAAGAGAAATAAATACTTCTATACATTACTAAAAACATACTCAGTGTTTTCGACTAAAGTCGTCGATGTAGGAATTAAAATGTCGATTAATTAGTTTAGGGCCTGTTCTCAAGGGGACTATACCAAGCTCGTAATAGCATGGCGAGAGCGTAGCGTGGTCTGATTGGACTAGAGAGGGCTTAATGAGATCTTTGTCAACGTACTAAGAGTGTCACCATGTGCTTTCTACCCGCTCCCTGTATGTTGTTACCATGCTTACTTTTCCATCGTGGATCTGGCTGATTTTTGAAGTCAAGGCGAGAAATGGTTTTTGTCGACACCTCTCCATTACTAGCATGTAGTCATCAGGAGTAAAAAGACACTGTTGGCGCTTCAATGCACATTTTAAATCACCAAAGTCGGAATCATTGGAAAGAAAGTTGTGACCAAATACCCTAAACCGAAAATGGACAGTGTGAAGAGAAAGATCTAACCATCAACATATTTACCAGAAGAATGATCTAGCCCACATATAGCTTTGTTATGCAAAATGCATTTTCGGAAATCACAGTGATCCAACCCATTTAGATCAGACTTGTTTAATAAGCAAAAGGAGCCAGAGTATTTTGTGATGGCGTTCTATTAAACAATCTATAAATAGCTTTGTTCTATTAATATATATCGATTAGAACAATATCGCATATCAATCGTCATGATTTCATTAATCGAAACATGTACTAAAACGATTTTTTGAAATTTGAGGGTTAGGGCACCTAAGACCGCCCAAATGAGGTTTAACTTCCACTCGACACACACTAAGTCATTTCGGGACTAACATGGTTCAATATTATTTCCATAATTCGCTTGCGTCTAGGGTCTTTAGCAGCGGGAGGAAAACGAAGGACCGAGAGGAAACCCACGAGGTTGGACAGGCGATCCTACTCCTTGTCACGTACAACCGGGGAATCGAAACCACGCCAGTTGACTCAATGACAGACTTTATGATACAGCGCGCGCACGCTAACCACTCGGCCATCCCTTCACAACAAACAACAACACCAGTGGATTTACTAATATAAAATGTATTGATGGGTGATAAGCTAAATAACGATAATATATAATGTATACATATATTTTTTAATAATATACATCTCTTTTCTGCTGTATTCAATGTTATTTTTAAATATCTCTTTACTAATATAAACCTCTAATCTATGTCTACTTATATCATCAAAATACAGTTCCATTATTGCTTTATACATAAGTACCTGTTATTCGATCAAAATGTTCTAATCCGAAAAATGATATTCCGTATTTAAATCATGACACAATCTGTACTTACATCATAATGCTCTATACTTAAAGACCCAGTCTTTTCCTGAACTTAAATCATAATGTTCTATACTTAAATCATGGCCCAGTCTTGTCCTGAACTTAAATCATAGTGCTCTATACTTAAATCATGGCCCAGTCTTGTCCTGAACTTAAATCGTATCGTGACGTACTTAAATCATGATATTATGAACTTAAATCAAGATCTTCTGAACTTAAATCAAGATCTTCAGAACTTAAATCAAGATCTTCTGAACTTAAATAAAGATCTTCTGAACTTCAATCAAGACCAAGCCCTGTCCTGTACTTACATCGTATTCTTATGTACTTAAATCAAAATGTAGGACTGTGTGGAGTCAAAATTGTTAATGTAGTTAAAAATAAACTAACTAGTTAAAAGCAAGATAACTAGTTAGCTCCGCCAAGTCCTGATAATGTTATGAACTTCAATCAAGATGTTCTGGACTTAAACTATGATGATATGTACTTAAATTATAATGACCAACAGTACTGGTGATTAAATCGTTATATATCACCCAAATCAGACAGGACCATACCAAAACACATGGTTATGACGATCGATCAGTAATATAAAAGCATTGATTTCATTTATAAATATGAACCGTATATTGATAATATTGTTAACAGAACTAACACAGTTATACAGGTCACAATTCTATGGAATACAATTACTGCTTTTTACTGAGCGACGTTTCGACTAGGCTTCTCTAGTCTTTGTCAGCATTAACTAAGCATTGTTGTGTACATGTATATATTGTCCTGTCATATTTTCATTTTTATCATAGCTTGATAATAACTAGAGAAGCCTAGTCGAAACGTCGCTCAATAATAAGCAGTAATTGTATTCCATAGAATTGTGACCTGTATACTCTAGTTCAATTACTAAATGCCATTGAAACAGTTTAACACAGTTATATGGGAAAACAATAACTGGTTTATTATACACAAGTACGACGTTTCGGTAAGTATTGTGCTTGATAACGATAAGAGGATACTTATCGAAACGTCGTACTAGTGTATAATAAACCAGTTATTGTTTTCCCATATAACTGTGTTAGTTCTGTTATGTCTCCCATCGCTAAATGCCACTAAAGTATTAATATTGTCAACCGGCTAACCAAAATGGCTTACTTTTAATTTCTCACATTTAGAAGTTCACATTCTAAACGACAGGCGCAAAATTTTGTAATAAAGAAGTAAAGAAGTATGAATTAAAGACTGTAAAATTCGATCATCATCTACGATTTAAAAAATATACAATTTAAAAAGGGATAATAATGAATGAAAAATAAAATAGTTTTATTGTTTTAATCATAAAGTAGGATTACCTCCAAGCTTTATCAATGGATATCCAATTTAAAAGGAAACGGGTATCCAATACAAAATAAAACCCAACTAAAAACCTAATTTAGTAGACACGGCAGGGTTGGCTTACCCCGTCTAGACCAGGGGCCTATTTCACGATAAAATCCAAATTTAAGTAATTTGATTGGATAATATTAGATTGATTTTAGTGCTTAGCCAATCAAAATTGAAGTATCTACTAAAATTTGGGTTGTATCTTTAGTTAAGATTTCGAGAAACAGGGCCCAGGTCATATAGTTTTACATTTACTTAACGAATCCCGTGGCTAGTTCCTGTACGACTGTATTCAAGTAATGTCCTCACCCTCTCTCTCTCTCTCTCTCTCTCTCTCGATTTCCAGAAATTCGCATTATTAGTTTCCACGTACGCGTGTATTCATGTACTATACTAAACCGTTGCTTTGATGAAACATCAGTTAGGTTTAATCATAATTATAGACGGGTTTTATTTATATTTACTACCTTCTCTCTTTAAATCAAAACAACTAACAACTAAATACTGGGTGATAGATTGCTAAATATATTTGTTAAGGCCAGCTCAATTTTTGTCAAGGTCGTTGAGATGTAAATAAGGTTAGGGCACGTGATTGTTGGCGCGATTGTAGGTTAGGGCTAGGGTTAGCATTGGGGCTAGGTCCAGATTTGGGGTTAGGGTTGGGATTAGCCCTAGCCCTGTTTACATCTCGTGACCTATGACAAAAAATTCAGCTGACCTTAACATTTAGCACTAACCGTGATAAATGATATATAAATAACTAAAATAAAAAAATAATGATAAACATATAAAGATAATAAACTGATGCAAGCTATTTAAAGCGGACTAGAAGTTTTTATATTAAAATATTCAATCTTATTAAATTACTATTGGCTTTTTATACTACCTTCGTTTCGTTTCTGTTTTGCTGCGTATTATTCATGTAATCTATAACCGGGGTTGTGCAGGAAGTGGTGAGCTTCGGGCGCGTGGGGCGGGCGATGGGGGTAGGGGGTTGGTGTTAATTCGTTCTCGGACCCAGTGGTCCAAAGGGGGGTCCAGGAAGGTTCGAATTTATTTATTTATTTATTCGAGAAAAGCAATCGAGCGCTCCAGCATTCCACCACTCTCACTTTCATAAACACAAAATAGTAAAGAAGGGGGGCAACTCTGTACTCCCTGCTAAAACAATCGGTTGTTCACGTAAATAGTCTAACGAAACGAATAAAAGATTAAGTTGGAATTAAGATTGGTATTCTAATATAACATAATAACAAATGTAATTTATCAGAGGTATTTTTGAATTTGAATTTAAAATTCACAATAAATGTTTATTCGTATGAAACATTTTAAACTGGGTATGTAACAAGCTTCCCCAGTTATGGTTTCATCAAAATTGTTATATTTAGACGTTCTATTCGGATCGGCCTTTAATACAATTAATCCTAACGATATGATTATTCTACAAAGGCCATACAGTGTGCAATGAGGGAAATCTTGTCCAGGCAGTGGCACTATGGCCTACTCGTATATCGAATTTCAACTGCCAAGGGATCTTTTACGTGCACACCAATATATACACGGGACATCGGTTTTTCCTCCTATCCAAACAACTAGACAGATGTCCTTGTTAGGACCTCCGCCCTGCACCACTGACAAGAGGAAGCCAGGCCAGAGATTTGAACTACAGTATAATACTTTCAGCATCTGTTAAAAAATTAACCATGTTAAAATACACGTATCGACCCATCAATAAATTAACAATTGATATATTTGTATATTTTAGTTTACATATGGAATGGTCTAATATTTACGAATCATAACAGCGTTAGAAATGTATATGTATATAAATATGTATAATCATTCATTTTTAAATTTGATACGTAAAATAAAAGGGTTCCAGAATATCGGGGAGGGACTCTCGGGTAAGAATTAAAGACATAAAGACAGCGATATACCATAATTAAAATGTAAGTCTTACATAAGCTGCAAAAACAATTTTATATGAATGGGTATATAAAACCTACGTATCTAAAAATGCTTTAAAGGCTATTAGGACCTTTGTTTTAGTAAAACATGGACTTTGAAAATGTCCTTTAAAGCCTATTAGGACCTCTATTTTCGTGAATCACAGACTTTTAAAATGTCCTTTAAAACCGACGCTCGTCATCTGAGGAATTTTGAATCCTTTGCAAACTACTTAAAACATCAATATTTAAAGGGAATGTCAGTGTAAAAATGGTTCAGTTCCATTCAGTATATGATAAGTTGAAAATTTACCAACATCCGGCAATCTTTCCAGGCGATATAAACAAGTTCTACGGTAATTTCTTATCTAGCGTTGAAGTTTAGGTTTTGGGTTCTTAATTAAAATGTTATATAATTAATCTTAATACAATCTTAATAAATTTGGCAAATTAATGAAAAAATACTGCTTGACGATTTTTAAAAATGGTAAAAAAAATAATAAAGAAACTAGATTATATTAAAAGCGATAAACAGCAGAATAATTAAGAATTAAACGTATACATAATAAAATGTTATAATAAAACATGGAGAATTATAATCATAATAAATAAATCAAGTCTGGAATAAATAACTAATCACCAAGTAATGAAAAATACACAGTATAAAATTAACATACAAATACGAATACGAAACTACAAATACATCAAACAAGGCCAAAATGGCGGGACACTGGAAACATACTATCCATTCGTTTAATATCGTGGTATTTCACTTGGCCTGATATTGTTAGCTACGCTTGACGATAGTCAGGCGAAATGACAATCTAATCTACATTCATTGGTCTTCTTCTACCTTGTAAAATTCATTGAAAACGGTCCCAAGTCTTTCGGTGATAATCCAAAACGCTCTCCCCTAGGAAAGATTCCGTGATTTTGTGACAATCCGATTGGCTATCCTGTTTCTGCGAACCACCAACCGTATCTATTATATTGTAAAATACAAATTAATACAAATTTAATTGTTAGATACTAACACATTGCTTTAAGCTTAAATTATGTTAGCATAGAATACAAATATCCCAAAATACAAATTTGGCAAAACACTTAATATTTTCTATGTTCACAACATAGAGACCATAACATCAGGTAATATTTGTACTCACCGGTGAAAGAAACACCAATCTGATTAAAACACTATTTCGTTTCGATTTTTATAGTTCAAAATTTCGTTTTATTTGTCTGTACTACAATAGGATCTGGAAGAGTTGTTATATAACCTGCGTTCTATATGGCGTGAGGGATTAGCCAATGTAACCATCTTTCATGGTGACTTCTTCGCGTGCGATGCATGGAACTGTGGATAAACCACTCGAAACGTCTGATGTCATAGGGTCAAAAGCCGCTCGTAAGACCCCTGACGTGACCTTCCATTACAACCAGCCAGATCTTCATGTAGAGTAGGCCATGGAACGTATAAAAAAACGAAACGAAATATAGATCTGTATTTTAATCAGATTGAAGAAACACAAAACAATTACTGGTAATATTTTAAACTAAATGTAAGACGAAACCAAAGGCATATCTTAGAAAATAAAATCGCTATATATTGCAGTATGGATGACCACATATACTACATTGTGTGGATAACCATACCAAATTGTATGGATAACCATTATACCAAATTATATACATGTAGATGACCATATATACCAAATTGTATGGATGATCATGTATATCAAATTGTATGGATGACCATATGAGCCAAATTTGCAATCTTATTTTACACCTCTTATGCTGTCTTATGCCCGTCGTCAAGTTCTGGATTGGTTCAGACACGTTAAACCTTCAACCCCACATAATTGTATTTGTTTTACTTTTTCTTGCAAATCCACTATACCACTTCAATCTGAAGAACCTGGATGTTTAAAAAATACTAGCGGTTAAATCGGTGTTTCATGGGTATAACCTCCAACCGGAACTAGCATAACTACGAAACCGGAAGTGGTAGTACAAAGCCATCAGACCTATGTCACTCCCCGGCTGTCACTCCCCGGCCCAAGCCGCCATCTAACAAATATACCTCCCTATATACAAAAAGTCCATTTTAACATAAAACTAAATAAATAACTAATAAATGAAGAATGGCGCATGAAGGCAAGCACGTGATGATTAGAATAACGTAAAAATGTGTCTGGATAACAAAAGCAAAAATAAACGCTCTTCAAATTTAGGTTTATAAAAAGGAATGCTTTTATAGTTCTTAAACAATAAACAGTTTTATTATCCAGTCTCTCAGACAGATTATCTGATACAACCAGGAAAAAAACAATTTGTTACATGTCCGATTATTTCATACAACCAGGACAAACCCCAATTTGGTACATGTTGGATTATTTCTTAATTAGATCAAACGCTCCAAGATTTGAGATCTTAAAATATGGTTCAGTTTTATGATAAAATGAATTCAATGGGAAAATGGATTACGGGATGAGAAAGGTGTATTTTAGTAAGAATTTGAATTATTATTATGATATGTGATATGTGATATGTGATCGAACGCACTAGAAAGGGTATTCTGATCGTTGATAAAATCATTCTGGTCAATGGTGATATGTTTTATCATATGTGCATAGATCTTGATATGTATTGGAATGACTTAACAAGCAAAACATTCTAAACGTCACAAACTACCTCCACAAGACTAACTAAATGACGCCATATTGAATCGTCATCATAAATCGCGCACCACTCACGTGCGTCATATCTTGTTCACATAACACGGCATTTGCCACCACATTGGATTCAATATGGCACTGTTTGTAGTTTTTAAAAGTCTGAAACGTTTCATCTTTTATGGTACTTTTACTGAAGTTCAAAGTGTGCACCGAATGAGTAAATTACGTCCCCTTGCAATGACCTTTCTGCTAATTACATCACCCAAAATACGTTCTAGTTATTCCTACTTATTTTCCGTTGTTAGCATGACACTCAAAGTGACTTCGCTTTTTAGCATTTTTAACAGAGGAATAACATTGAACATAAGCATATCCAAGATGTACGCAATTTAAAACGGTTCAAGACAATGCTGTAATATCATAGTATGTATAAATGCGCATTATTCTAACAAGTGCTTTATAATAAACAAGTGTGCGCTAATTGAAATCTGGAATATAACATAATACAAATAATATAATATTGCGCAAAATATTTACATGGTACTGCGCAAGTTTTATACAATGGGCATTCCTATGACATATTTTGGCGGGACAGTAGCATCAAACTATATGTAATACTTCTTTTATATTAATGGATAGTAGGAAATTATGTTAACTACGCTACACTTTTTGTAATGACGTAAGCATTTTTTGTGTAGACGATAACAATGGCGTAGGTTGTATTTCCGTTGTCAATTGATTGGTTGATGGCGTTATTGACATCTATCCACGTGATCACAGTCGAACTTTTAAAACTTGTTAGTAAATTATATGTAGGTTTTAGTGTCATATAATTTGGCACCGTCAATGATATGTGTCAATCAATTGTCCATTACGTTTAAATTGCGTAAAGGCCGTATGTCAACACAATAAATAATGTCTACCTTTACGTAGAAACAGATCACAGATCTAGTCGCATTCGCCATCTTTTTTCTCTTCTATAAGTTTAATGCTTCCTTGGAGATCAAATATTTCAATATCAATAATATATAGCAGGTCAAGGTTATAGAGCTGACCTTAGTAGGGTCAAAGTTCATTGACCTTTCAGTTGAGTTAAAACTTCGTTGATATACTGATAAATGTTCAGTTCATAGCGAATATATATATATATATATATATATATATATCCATACGAAAATCTTATTCCGACACATGCTATAAATAAAAGTTGTCTACGTCATAATTCTCCGACACAGAGCACCACGTTCCTAGTTTTTTCGACACAAAATGTTGATAAAGAACATCTTGGTTCCGACGATATTCTGAAGCTTTATCTTTAATCTGTAGGTAGGATTTCCCCAACAGATCCCGACGTCCAAACTTGGTACAAATTTGATGGAATAGGGTGAAGAAATGCTTCTTACTGATTGCAGAATATGGCATGTCGGTCGGGCTGAAATATAAATAAACATCATATTGAATGTAAACAATTTCATTTCATCCAGTGCGATATTCATCAATCTGATTAAAATACATATCTATATTTTTTTAATACTTTCGATGGCCTACATTACATGAAGATCTGACCAGCTGTAGTGGAAGGTCGCCCCAGGGGTCATTCAGGCAGCTTTTGACCTTATGACGTCAGTCTTGTGATTAACCAATCAGCGTAGACGTTTACGTGTCTAGTCGTTTAGCCAGAGTTCCGTGCAACTCATGCCAAAAACTCGCCGTAACAGACCATTTCATTGGCTAATCCCCCACATCATCCGGAACGCGGGTTATATAACAATTCTTCCAGATCCTTATAGTTTAGTAAAGACACGTAAAACGAAATTTTGAACTATAAAAAACGAAACGAAATAGGATCTGTGTTTTAATCAGATCGCAGAAAAGTATGACGTTAAATTTATCCCTTTTCTTTTCATTCTTGAATATGTGTAATGATCATCTAGGATTCTGTTGAACGACTTACCCAGAGATTTTGGTACCAAATATACCATCAATAACCTCGACCCCTTCATCACCAATCGTCCATATAACACTGTACTGTCTCGATTTATTTAAGGCATAGTTATCCAGGTCATGATCTTCTGGATAATACAAACTAGGCGAGTTCACCATATAAGGATTGTAGATCTTTTCATCCAGTGCTCCAGTTTTTAGTCTACCAAACACGGCGCGAGGTACGTGTTCTTTCTGGTCACCAGAATAGCTTCCTGAAAGATAAGAAGAGTTGGATTTTATTTTAGAATTTTGTCTGAAGTTTTAGTGCCCAGTTTCCAGTTATCAGTGGTGACCAATGCGTGACTGACTTTAACAACTGTATAGTCGCTGGGATAGGACAAAAACAGGAGTGGATTTGACGACACCTTTAAACCAAGATCCGTTCGGTTATTGTAGATAGATTGTGGGATGAAGGTAGGCGCACAATAATATAGAAATAGCCCTGTCTGAAGGACTTCTTAAATGGCTACAAGATATTCAAAGTTAGCACAGACGTGTTTACAAAATTATTGTTAACATAGACGTTATTAAAAACTATCCAATCGTTTAGCGTGTCTCCATTTTTCAAGAATGAAAGTCTAAAACGTGTTTACGACCGATTTGCATAAAACCCTGAATATGTTGACAGAATAAAGAACCGAACTGGCGCTCACTGACACATCAGCTAGTGTCTACCATTAGGATCAAGAATAGGTAACCTGATTCCGAATTGTGTAATCCACCACTCCCTTTGATACGCTTTGCTGCAATGATAGTAGTCTCTGTCATCCAGAAAAATATCAGTCTGGATGCGTTGTCAACATTTAAGAATAATAGGTCATTGGCTAGATTATCCTGTCTTTTACATAATCATAAACAAAGTCTAAAACAAGATGTTCGCGCCCATGAAATTAATTTAAGAAAAACATCTCAGAAAATAAATGTTTAATTGCCAGTTCAATATTCAACACTGTTAATTTTTTTCTTGGAACAAAACTTTGACGCAGAAATCGTCACTCACTGGTAATATATATAGATTACTCATAAATTATGCAAGAGCTAAATCTGCCTATTGCAGATCTTTCTTTGGGCATTAAATATTATATAAACTATTAATTAGACATTTATTAACATGGTGCTATCTTATGTGTCGAATTTTCACTGGATTTGAATCCTATCTGCTGTTCAACGTCTGTACTTGATTAACCGTAAACCTGGATAATCGAAGTTTTGTTTATTATCGTAACAACGGTCACAATAACAATCGAATCCATAGTGTTTTTGAAATTCCGTTTTCTCGGTTGGGAATAAAGTAATGTGACTGAAATTTTCAACATTGTATCTTTTACGTTATCTACTTTCTTTAGCTATTATAGCGAGAACTGTCAGCCCTTTATCTAATCTTCCATAATCCCCCTTTAAATAAGAATAATAAAACTCACCAATCACAACGGAAGACAGATAAATAGGCTCCATTATATGGGAGAGTAGCGCCCCTTGTACACCAACAACGTTCCATCGACATATTTTGTCACTGCAGGTCATGACCCTTAGCCTTTCTTCGCCATTATGGCCTGCCGGAAGTACTGAATCGGTTGGAATAGCTCCTTCGCCTGTGAATTTAAAACAAAAACACCAACCATATGGTTTGAATTGATGATAAAAGTCTTTGGGTGGAAAGATAAGACAATGTTTAGAAATTAAAATGTCAGTCAACTAGCTTATAGCCCGTTTAAAAAAACAGGGATCGTTAAACCAGTTTAACTGTGTCGTCGGAACGCAAATGTGCGGCAAATAAACCAGTTTAAAAACCCCAGAAGGCTTTTTTTTTTAAACTGGTTCATCTTGGCCGTCTGAACGGGTTGACTTAAAAACCCCGACTCCAGCTCGCTTTGGACATGCGCAGTACGCGTTAAGTTATATTCCTGGGAAAATGGCGGCGTAATGCAGAGTCAGAGTTATCGAAAGCGTGCCAGAATCGAATGAAGAATATGAAGCTACCCATGCATAGTTAACTCTAACCTCCGACGGAAGAGGTCAGAATAGTTAAACTGGTTTGGCTTAGAGTACGTGTGGATGCAACAAGATACTGTCTTAAAAACCCCGTCGATTTTGAACTGGTTTAAAAATAAGCGTCTGAACGGTATACAAGTCTATGTTCTCAAGCAGCGTTAATTGTAGACAGGCAAGGTAAGTTTATAGTAGGTATCTTACCGTCAGCAACCAATGTTCTTAATACTCCTTGTTTTCTTAACGCCTTACTTCTTACATCTTTACTTCTATAAAAACATCAAATTCATGAAAGATATAATAAATAAAACAGAACTTAAACATTGTACAATACGCTAGGATATACGTGAAAGATATAACAAATAACAAAAACTTAAACATTATACAATACTGTATGTATTATCATGAAAGATATAACAAATACAAAAAAAAAATAAACATTGTACAATACGCTAGGATATATGTGAAAGATATCACAAATTAGCAATGCTATTTGTAGGGTTTTTTCGTAATAAGAAATTTTGCTTAAATAACTCTCTCCCCCTTTCACTCTCTATCCCATCTATTAACTTATACCAATGAGTGTTACAACTTACCCGATAGTAGGAAACGCTGATGCATCTCCACAAGGTGGTCGACTAATATACAGATGGAACTTGACTCCATCAACCAGACTTAATTTACCTGAATTGCTTCTTGTAAAGATTGGATTCTTTTCCCCTTCCACGAAACGATCTAACTCATTGTACAAGAACCTGTATTAAATCCGGGCATTGAAATATTAAAATATGGAGTTGAACGTCTCTTAAATAATAATAACTATCTCAGTATGTGAAAGAAGAAGGAAATATTGCAGAATTCAGAAATAGACTCAAGACTCATCTCTTTACTTCAATATAACATCACTCTCTGTGACAGTCACAACTCGGCGCCATTAGAGCAATTTACTGGATAATAGGCCCTATATAAATACATTATTATTATTCTTATAATGATCTAGACTCCAAACAGTATTGTATGCTCAACAAGCTGACAATAAGTTCCAAGGAATACTTATAAATGTGAACATTGAAATAGGTAGGTTTTGAGTTACTGTTTGAGGACGCTGAGAGATGGAACTATCGGCAAATGATCTGCAGAGAGGAGAATTTTGCCCGAACTTCGGAATGTTACGAGATCTACCAATGTATTTTTGGCAGGTATCAATCTGATCAAAATACAGACCTATATTTTGTTTCGTTTTTTTTTATACTTTCGATGGCCTACACTACATGAAGATCGACAAGTTATAGCGATAGGTCACGTCAGGGGTCAAAAGACCGACTTTTGACCTATGACGTCAGACATTTGATTAACCAATCAGCATTGATGTTACTTGTGGATTACCCACAGTTCCGGGCAAAAAAGGTCAAACACCCTATTCGACAGACCATTTGATTGGCTGACCCCTCATTTCAAGCAGAACACGAGTTAAATAACAAGTCTTCTAGATCCAATTGTAGTAAAGGCAAGTAAAACGAAATTTTGAACTATAAAAACGAAACGAAATAGGGTCTGTGTTTTAACCTGATTGGGCGGGTATGTAACAGTAACCATAACAGTTGAAATTCGACGTCAAGATTCCTTCATAGCACACTGTTTGCTATGCCCTCGTTGGTTTAAGGGACGTTAAACCCCGCTTCATTTCATTTCTTATATACGGATTATAGTTTAAGATTTTCGAATGTGATTCTTTCGTAATAACCCACAGCAAGTAGTTAACATAAAAAGTGTTTTACCTGACAAAGGCTCTTCTAGCTACTATTTCAGCATGAGCTTGTATAATGCACGTTCCATCTGACTTTAAATTCTGATACAATACACTTCGATTACCTAATAATAACAATAAACCATGGATTATCTCCCTTGTATATCCACGTTGTTTTAGAGACACAAACATCATGATTTTACTATTTCATCAACAAACTTTACAAGGCAGATAAACGACCTTATGTTTAAATAACCCTTTAAAGCATAATTTAGGTCGCGCTCCTTGCATTTTTTTTTACAGCTTTTAGTTACCGCTAGTCTCGTTCAGGAAGTATATTTGTCTAATTTTGAAAATCAGTATGGCGAGTAGATGAAAAAACTATATTAATTACGCTACTCACGACAATCCAGACAATTGACTGTATCAGGTTTTTCTTTAAAATTAATGAGCCATATGCTTAGGGAACAGGGGCACTTAAATAAAGATCTGACAGTTAAAAAAAATAGGTAGCAAAAAGAGAATATGCTATAAATTTTAGTCAAATTACTTCACTCTGAGCCTAGATATCGGCGATACAATTATAGCCTAGTCTCAATTGTCATTACGCCCGTGGTTACGATAATAAACAAAGTCTCGATAATGCAGTTTTACGGTAACCGCATCGACCACAAAATATATTAATATCACAGCCATTGGATGCCGTTGGGAGTTGGTTATGGTCTTGTTAATTTAATTAATGTCTAATTAATAATTTATATAACAGGCCTACTGTAAGTAGATTTAGATCTTTCATAATGCCTGTTTAATACAATAAAACTTGAACTAAAATATTTTAAAAATTCAGACTTTTCATTGGTCGAGAGCCACAATTTGTAATTTAATTGTAATGCTTATAGTCAGAAACAATCACTATTCTTAAAATAATTCAACCATTTAAATAATCCAAAAGCATTCAGTTATAAGGTTAGTTAAAGTGAATTTCAACAAAAACAGTAACACAACAAGTGTAAAATAAATTGTTAATATAAATATAATTTCTAAGTATACCTGGTCTACAGCTGTAAACATAAAGAATTAAGATTAAAGGGTAAAATTGACAGAAATAACAAAATACCAACAGAAAACCTCAAGTTGTTCCATTTTGTAAGATCCGAGATCTCCGATTGGATTACCAATATGAATAAAGGGTAAAATTGATTGAACAGTAGAATATACATACATAAGAAAACAATTGGTCAAAAGAACATCCCGATTGAGTTATAATACACCTTAATTTGGACCATTCCCAGATAGTTTTGTAAGATCCGATATTTCCAAATGGATCCGGTATCTCCAAATGGATAACTATTCATCCGGTATCTCCAAATGGATAAATAGTAATTCGGTATCTCCAAGTGGATTCGGTATCTCCAAATGGATAAATGTAAATCCGTACTTTGTTCAAAGGAGTTCAAAATAAAACATAATATAATTTAAGAGAATTCCATGGATGGGAAATACAGATATTATACGAAAGATAAAAATAGAATTAAGTTTTAGCTGGGAGTTGTAGAAATGGGGTCGAAAGCTGAGTCTGTGTAACCTTTAAGGTACATACCTGTTCCCAGCGCCACCACAGTTTGCTGTCCGTTCCGCTCCATTAAAAACGCTGCTACGACTTTCTCTTTACAGAAATATATCATCTGTGTTTCTTCGGCTAATTCAAACACGCCTTTAGCCATAGCTTTTATTTTCTGGGCCGGTGAAAGTGGCTCGGGTTGTTCCCCTTCTTCTTCACTGAGTTCTACATTTTCTGCCTGTTGATGTGAAAATAAAATGTAGTCGCCATTGTTCTTCGTTACAAATAAATGAAATTAAATTGGGGTTTAACGTCCTATTGTTCTGCTCCTACCGGGCTAATGAAGACGGGCATACAGTGTGCTATGAGGGGAATTGTGCCCGGGCAGAGGTACTATGGCCTACTTTTATATCGAAATCCAACTGCCGAGAGGATCTATTACGTGAACGCCAAAGTCTAGACGGGACCTCTGTTTTTCGTACGGGCCTCCGTCCCGTACCTGTGACAAGGGGAAACCACAAGGGGATGAACTCGTTACAAATAACAAGGATATGATCATAAATAATAATATAACAAAAAGAAATCCGTTAACAAATTGTAGCCTCTATGGCGTTAATGATGTTTTCAGAAAGAGGGGATAACTTTGGAACAAAATATTACAGAGCGATGACCCCAATGCTTCACAGTCATCCGATAACAACGAGCGATATGTTGACGGACGGGCGGACCCATGGATGTGGATGGCGGTATAATACGTATCAAATAGGGAAGGAATTGGAGAAACGTAGGATTGAAAGGTTCTCATTGGGTGATGAACAGGAAACACGTGGGTATGTACGGAAGGGACTGAACAAATGTCTGGAGTTGAAAGGCAGATATGAATTGGTATTATCTTACAAAATTTACAAATTACACTGTATTTTTTTTAAACAGCAGACATTAGACAATTCCAAGAGGTAGAGTTTTAAACGAGACAAAATGGTGGTTATTACTTCAACCATTATCTCAAATCTGCAGTGACCTTTACACAGCTTGTAAACAAATTAAAACAAGATGGCAGAAATATGTGGACGGCGCCATATTAGGTACGTTTCACATAGTGAGTTATATAATATTCACGTGGTTGACATAGGATGAAAAAGGGTTTAACGTCCTACTTTTATGCACCAATCGGGGAAATTAAGACGGGGGGGGGGTGTAACGCGTGCGCGTTTCACCTTTTAGTCTGTTATTGTGTCAAGTTGCGTGTTTTCGATTCCCTGCTTGTACATGAGGAGTAAGGTCGCCTATCCAATGTTATGGGTTTTCCCCGGGCCCCCTGGCGTCCTCCTCTACGCGCAAACGAATTAATGAAATGAAAAACCAGGCCAGCTGACTCAATGATAACCTTATGATACAACGCACACGTGCTAACCACAATGTTTAATAAAAAAAAAAGGGTGTTACTTTCAACTGTCATTGTCATTAATGTTAAGTTGGTCAATTAAACCATGTAACTAGTCGCCACGGGGGCTCAGTGCGTAGGACTTTGGCTTGCTAACCTGGAGGCGTGGTTTCCCCTTATAAGTGGCACAGGACGGCGGGCCTGGCAATTGACAACGTATAGTCGTTCGGGTGGTACAAAAACCGAGGTTCGTGTACACACTGGTATGCACGTAAAAGATCACTTGACAGTTGGAATTCGATATAAGAGTAGGCTATATCGCCGCTGCCCGGGCTAAATTTCCCCATAATGCACTGTATGGCGTATGCCCATCTTCAATAGCCCAGTCGGCACAGAACAGTAGGACGTTAAACTCCATTTCATTTCATTTCTAAAAGACTTTGATTAGCATGAGCGTCCTCGAATCTTTAATATTAGCTGTTATCCGTTCTTTCATAAAGAATAACATCACGTAACATGTAACTAAGAGTAAATGTAACTAAGACTGTGACACTTTGCTTCATTAATAATAATACCATATAACTACGTGTGTAGTTTATTTCACGAATCGGTAATATCAGCTGTTATCCTTTCTTTCATAAAGAATAATACGTAACTACGAGTATCGTTTGTTTCACGAGCGTCCACGAATATGTAATGAGAAGGGGAAAGAGAGGGAGAGAACTGGGGGTTAACGTCCACTCGAAACAAACTTGTTTATTTCGGGACTAACACATGGTTCAATTTTATTGAAATAATTGACTTGCGCGTAGGGGTCTTCAACAGTGGGAGGAAACCGGAGGACCCCGAGAAAATCCACTAGGTTGGACAGGCGATCCTACTCCTTGTCACGTACAACCGGGGAATCGAAACCACCCCAGTTGACTCAATGACAGACCTTAATGATACAACGCGTAAGCGCTAACCATTCGGCCATCTCCCCCCCCCCCCCCCTCGAATCTGTAATATTGCTTGTTATCAATTCCTTCATAAAGAATAATACCATATAACTAGGAGTATAATTTATTTCATGAGCCTCCACAAATATGTAAAATTGGTTGATTTCCTTTCCTTCATAAAGAATAATATCATGACCACTATAAATGTATCCGCTATCGGGTATTTTACTAAGTTGGACGTGGATGCAACTAATTATACGAGGTCGTCTAGTCCTGCCAATGACAGACAACCAATGACCCGTGCCTAAATCAATCTTTCGGTCCATTTACAGAAGAGAAAAACATATTTCAGATATTGTCAGTCGCTAGAGATAAAAGGAAGATGTGTTTGTGAAGCTACAGAGAGAATCTTACCGCTATTTGATTGGCATCCTTCAGATTACGGCTGGCAACTTTGTATAATCTGTCTAACGCTAGCTCCGCGGCGATCTTTTTGGCATTTTTCTTAGATGTACCGTGCCCTTCAGCAAAGCGCTTTCCGTTAACCAGGGCGGCTGTATGGAATCTGTCAATGAAATCAATAATAAATTTTAGTTTAACATTAAAGTGGTATTATGGAAGTTATCACTGTAATAGATAAAAACTGGATAATGTAAAGGGAATATACTGCAAATTTCAGTCAAATTGCTTGACTCTGAACCGAGATATTAACAATTCTGTTTTAGGCTTAGCCTCGATCAGCATTACTAATGTCGATACGATAAAAACATAGTCTCGATTATCCATTTTTGGAATTAATCATCAATGAACGTTGAGCAGCATATCGGATTCAAATCATCCAGTGACAATCCGACACATAAGATGGCTTCGAAAGCTAATTAAAGTCTTATAGTTTATATAACATTTCAGGCTTATAAAGAAAGATTTGCATTAGGCAGATTTAGCTCTTGCATAATGTATGTTTAAACCGAAGATAAAACAAATACTTCCTTCTGCGAGGAGGGTGGCACTGCTCTCTCGACTAGAATATACCGGGCTCAAATCCCGACGTGGGCTGGGAAAACACTTCTTACGTGCTAGAGGCATAGTGTGTCTGGCCTCGAGTTCACAAAGTATTCTCAGACTTAAGTCAAGAATTTACTCAACTTTCAATCACTGTTTATGAGAAATATCTTTGATCCAAAAACACAAAACTTTGCAGATGGTTTCTTATTGATGTATTTATTTGATGCATTAAAACAACAATTTTTTTTATAAAAGGCTATATTTTAGTTAAAATAAGGCGAACAATTTTGAACAAATTCTTAACTTAAGTCTCAAAATGCTTTGTGAACACGGGACCTTATCATTCGGAAAGTATTAAAGTTCGGGGTCCATCCGTGGACAAATACGCGTGCACGTAAAAGACCCATTGGTATTTGTAACTTGAAGAAGAGTAGCTTTATATAATGGTCTCTACTGTCTACAATGGGGTTGTTATACGTTAGAGCATGTTCATTTTATGAAGGTTATTGAGCCATGTGTTGATTTTAGGTAATAGAATGACCGGGATTATAAAACAAAAGTAAAATAAACATGAAAAGTAAATACGCTAAACGTTAAAACAATCAATCTGATTAACATACAGATCTATATTTCGTTTCGTTTTTTTTATACTTTCGATGGCCTACACTACATGAAGATCTGACCGGTTGTAGTAAAAGGTCGCGTCAGAGGTCGTACGAGTGGCTTTTGACCCTATGAGGTCAGACATTGATTAATCAATCATCGTTGACGTGTCTAGCGGTTTACCAACAGTTCCGTGCATCGCACTCCAAGAAGTCGCCGTAACAGATGGTTCCGTTGGCTTATCTTTCACGCCATCCAGAACACAGGTTATATAACAACTCTGCCAGATCCTAGTGTTATACAGACAAATAAGACGAAATTTTGAACTATACAAAAACGAAACGAAATAGGATCTGTGTTTTAATTAGACTGTTAAAACAATTTATTGCACTTGATGATACGAGTATTAAAGTTCCTCGATAGTCGGAAGTAGCTTACCTTGAATTATGAGCTGGTCCAGTACGTGTACATTCCGTAAAATCAACAGTTACCTCCCTTGTCTGTCCATGTTCCATCAACACGCTGACAGGATCTCTATTACTGATGACACATGGCGGCAAATTCGTCGCCATCCTTCGTCTGCAATATACAAATATACTCAGTTTAAACCAATGAAGTAGAAACTATTTTGGCTGTGTCTGTTCCTTCGAATTGCCAGTGGCAAGTGGCATAAATATTCGCCAATGCTCCGCTATTCCAATTAAGAATATTTCAGGTAGACAGGTGTGCTATCTTTCATGATTATGATTTGTGTCTCTTTGCAATCAAGCTTTGGTTTATTTAAAAATTTAACATATCCAAGAATCACGTCATCCATGTCTGAAGAAATTACAGAAACCCAGTTGATAAATTCAAATATTTGCAGAATGGAAGCATCAAATGCCTAAACTGAGAGGGTCAAATTCAATCTAAAGAAAAACTATCAAAGATGGTCGACGGAGTTTTGTCTTTCTCTAAACATAAAGGAAACGAACGTAAATAGTTTCTCAAAACTTTCGAATCCCGCTTTCTATAAACTATGTAGAAACACTTCACTATTTTCAAATGACTGTCGGATTCGTGTAAATTAGTCACTTTTAAGGCCGGTAAAAAAAACCATAAATAGTTTCTCAAAGCATTCGAAGCCCACTCTTTATTTACTATGTAGAAACATTTCCATATTTTCAAATGACTGTCGGATTCGTGTAAATTAGTCACTTTTAAGGCCGGTAAAAAAAACATAAATAGTTTCTCAAAGTATTCGAAGCCCACTCTTTATTTACTATGTAGAGACACTTCACTATTTTCAAATGATTTTCGGATACGTGTAAATTCGTCACTTTTAAGACCGGTTCCGCATCTGTAAACGCTACATATACTCCAATGCGATTTGGACATCTGCGCAACACAATGAATACAAGCTATAATATACTTTTTAAAAAAAAGTTACGTCCTATACCCTTTAAAATCTTCAAATCACATCTCAAAACAATGAAGAAAAACTGCATTTAGCCGGTAACCGGTGCCAAATATAGACTGACAACAAAACAAAATATTGTTCCTATTATAAACACTCTATAAAAATGTCTACAGTACAGATTTAATATCAAAATCACAAACACAGTAAAAAAAATAAACTAAAAACATTTCAACCACTGGTGATACAGTAAATTCCGTGAAATAATTTAACGATTCTTTCTGTAAGATTTAGATAGCGAGCTGGTTCTTCTTGTTATTGTAGTTCAAAAATAGATAATACAAAATGAATGTATTGAAAATTTCATTCAAATTACTTTACTTATTATGAGTTAAGTTATCACTGTTTGTAGTTGTGACAGGATGTGTGTAAATATTTTGTAATTTTCAAGTTATGTCCGATCCGTAGATGGTACTTATCTACCTTATTGCAGTAGCATCCTCATTTGTCACTGGTATTTTTGCGTGCACGCCAACGTGTACACGGGGCCCTGTTGTTTGTCTCATCCGAAGAACTGTACCCCTAACAAAAGGAAGTCACGCAGAAGAATACTGATCTATCGGGCCCTATGGCCTACTCATATATCGAATTCCAACAGTCAAGGGATTTTTTACGAGCACACCAATGTGTACACGGGACCTCAGTTTTTCATCCCATCCGAACGACTAGACAGCTGTCCTTGTCAGGCGTGCAGAATAGGAAACCCCGGTGTTAATTTGTTGTGAAAACAATGGAAGATATTTTAACAGTGTATGAGGACCATATGTAAGGTAGAGTTTTAAATTAGGTCAATGTCTATAGCTGATATATAAAGACCAGTAGAACTATGATATATGCTAGGTACTGGGATATATAAACTACTTCCTGTCACAGCAGATGGTATAACTTCGTCCTAGTATTAGCCACTGGCATGATTATTTTATTATTTTAAAGTGAAATGGTTTGTAGAATATAGGGGGCGGGTTGGATGGCAGAATGGTTAGCACGTGCGTGATGTATCATAAGGTATGTCATTGAGTCAATTGGCGTGGTTACGATTCCCCGGTTGTAGGGTCGCCTGTCCAACCTCGTGGGTTTTCTTAGGGTCCTCCGGTGTCCCCCCACTGCTAAAGATATTGAAATAAAATTTCAATAATTCGCTTGCGCGTAGGGGTCTTTAACATGGGAGGAAACCGGAGGATCCGGAGAAAACCCACGAGGTTGGACAGGCAACGTACAACCGGGGATTTGAAACCAGGTTACCTAAAATGTCGTGTTAATCTTGTAAAGTTTACAATTCTAACAAATGTCATTTTATTTCTTTTCGAGAGTAAAATTTGTAGACATAATAAATTGTTTATATGACTAAAGCTTTAAAAAGTCGCAATGATTTTTTTTTTCGAAAAAAGAGAAAAAATAAATACCAAAGAACTATATACATGGACGACGGCGACTAAATAATTCAACAGCATGTTAAACGTTAACTGGTAAAACAATGGCAGCGACTAGTGGTATAAATTAAAACAACATGCACCAAATACTTCAATAATTATTTGCCATAGATATGTTACAATTCTTTGCTTTTAAAAATAGAAAGAAAAAACATTTTCCTTAACACACCGTCTCTTTCGTCTGTCCAACCTCGTGGGTTTTCTCCGGGTCGCCCGGTTTCCTCCCACTGCTAAAGTCCCCTACGCGCAAGTGAACTATTGAAATAAAATTAAACCACATGTTAGTCCCGAAATGACCTAGTTTGTGTCGAGTGGACGTTAAACCCTCTGGGATGACAGACTCCTCAACGATCAATAGAATTCTGACACGACACGAATATATGTCCCAAACTCCTCCAATAAAAAAATATCATTTTCGTCTTGGCTCATCCATTCATTTTACGTCATCTTTCAGATACATCTGAAGTTGAATTATATCGATTTGCACGGACATTAAAAATCTTTACCTTGTGTATGGGGCCACATCTCTCATGGTTCTCTCTGGATAACCCACCCAATGTTGACGATAACTCGTTATTCAGTGTGAATAATGGTTTAAACCTATTCGATAGCGATTTATAGTATATGTATGTTAAAGTGGCTATCTTGCTCTTTTCAAAAATAATAAACGCCCAGTAAGGAAGATCGCATATTTTAATGTTAAACAGGCATTATACAAGAGGTAAATCTGCCTATTGCAGGTCTCTCAGAATCTGTTATTGAAACTGGGTGCGAGACTTAAACAGTTTATACCGACCAAAAGATCCTGTATAATTTAAACATACATTATACAAGAGCTAAATCTGCCTATTGCAGGTCTTTCTTTAGGCCTTAAATATTATCTAAATTATTGATGAGACATTAATTAACTTATCATTACCATAATCAACTCTCGGTGCCATCATTAGCCTGCAATATTTAGTGGATTTGAATACGTTTTGTGATGGATGATTTAACGTAAAAATGGATAATCGAGACTTTATCTAATATCGTATCAATGGTAGTAATGACGATCGAGGCTAGCCTAAAACCGAATCACTAATATCTCGGTTCAAAGTGAAGCAATTTGAATGAAATTTTCAGCATATTCTGTTTTCTTTATCTAATGTTTTATCTATTATAGCGAGAACTGTTCGCACTTTATCTGGAGGATCACGTTGCTAAGTGGGTAAGATGCTGGCTCGCTAGTCTTGAGGTCGGGTGTTCGATCCCTGCATTGGCCGAGAAAGTTCATCCAGATTTTCCGGCGTGGTTCCCCCTTGTCAGTGATGCAGGATGGAGGGCCTGACATTGGTGTGCACGTAAAAGATCCCTTGGCAGTTGGAATTCGATATAAGAGTAGGCTGTAGCGCCGCAGCCCGGGCAAAAATTTCCCTCATAGCACACTGTATGGCGTATGCCCGTCTTCATTAGCCCAGTTTAGGAGCAGAACAGTAGGACGTTAAACCCCATTTCATTTCATTTTATCTAATCTTACCTAATGCCCCTGTATTTAGGCATCTTCACGAAGAATGTACGATCAATATTACTACCATAGCTGTGTAAGATTCATAATGAAATCAGTAGAAACTAATTTAAACATCAACAGCCATAACTTAAATTCGAATTGATCGATTTGTGTGAATATTCATTGAACCAATAATTTTTAAATAAAAGTTATTTTGATTGTGCACGGTCTAACCATAAAATATTTTAAATCTTCATGTAGTAGAGGCCATCGAAAATATACAAAAACGAAACGAAACGAAATATAGATCTGTATTTAAATCAGATTGAACATTTTTAAAACTTTAAAATTATCCTTCAGTGCTGTTATAAATAAAAGTAATGAATGAAGATAATCAATATACTAGTAAAAGTGCAACAAATATTGATTTGTTTCGTAAGAAATGAAATGAAAAATCTTCATCAATCGCGACATTGAAGAAGGGCATACGAAATGGCGTGCACTAGGACGAAGATTCAGCGTGAAATGTGTCGTTTCTGGCTACTCGTGTCAAGGGTTCGTTTGCGTGCGTGACAAAGAGAACACGGGTGAACCTGAGGGTTGTTTTTTTTTTGTCTCATACGAATGACTAGACATGTTTAATTGTCAGGTCCTGCACTAAGACAATGGGCGCATAATCCCGAGGAACTTCCTCGTCCATCACCGTGATCGAACCCTGGCCATCCTGACTAGTCAGCCAGCGTCTTACTCATAGATTCATAGTAGCTCACATATGTAAAATAATGAAATAAAATGGGGTTTTACGTCCTACTGTTCTGCTCCGACTGGGCTAATGAAGTGTGCTATGAGGGAAATTTTGCCTTGACAGCGACGCTACGGCCTACTCTCATATCGAATTCAAGCGATCGAGGGATATATAAAGCTAGTTATCACACGGTGTCCCTTTAATTTTACTTTATACTCGACAGACTCTCCCTTTAAGACAATCGGTCACATTTGTTATGCATAAAGTATTTTATATGTTTATCCAACAGAAGGTGTCGTGTATTGTATTGAGGGTTGGTAAGAAATTCACTCTGTCATTATGTCACAACAAAATCACTGGATATACATGTACATATATACAATTGATTTTTCTCTATAATTATATCAAATTAGAATAAAGTACAAATTTCTTATTGGGTAACAGATGGTTCATTCTTTAAAG